TGCTAAACTAGGACCAACATTCACAAAAAACCTATTAAACTTCTCTACTGCATCCTCCAATCTATTGACCAGTGTGTCATTATCCATAAACCTTTAACCTTTATCACAGACCCACAAAAACAGAAAACATATGTCTCCTCATATAGAGGCCATCTTGTCTTGGACTCATCCACTCAGCAGAGAGGTGATTGAAACAAGCATCATACTGAGTTCAGCATAACCTACTAACGTTCCATCTTACTGGTTTTGGCCTGGCATTTTTATCTTCTGTAACAACACTGTAGTTTGTTATTGTGGGCGTAATTTGTATTGACCTTGTTATAGTCTTGAACTGTTGTCTGCCTGAATGTTTTTATTTTATTTTATTTTATTTGTTTTACTCCTTAAACCTTGAGGCAGCACAGGCTTTGGCGTTCACTGAGAGAAAACTGCAGTGCTGAGGTAGTGTTTGTTACAGGTTCATGCTGATAAGAGGTTGTGTAGTGAAATTAGAGGCAAACAGAACATGCTCACATAAACATTTAGAGGAATCTGATAGCACTACTTACTATCACAGTGTTTTCTCATTCTCCCTGTAAAGTCCCTCTCTCTGTATGATAGCATTGGCTCATTTTTGTTAATGGGGATGCTGTGCAGTAACCACAGAGAGGCAGAGTTAGCTACTGTATGTCTGTTACATTTGACATTTTGTCCTCTGGCTTTATTGAACAACTGTGTTGTTGCCTTATGCCAGTAAGGGTCATGGACGGTGTGAAATTACTGGAAATGGCTCTTCCCTAAAGCACTAATTAGTGAGCTTGGAGGTTTTATAGCTTTCTAAAGCAGCTTTCCACTTCAGTAGTTTTTAGCCTTGTTTACACGCTTTCACCATGGCAACAGAGTCACAGCAATTTAATAGTTGATTGGGCGTTGGCTAACAGGAAGACTTTCATTGTTTCCACATGGACCAGTGTTCTGTCTTTTAGCTCCCTGAGCTACTGTAGATTAACAGGATTAACAATAAGGAGGGTCAGCGGTGTTCCAGCAGTCCAGTCTCAGATTTGGTTTTGGCTTAAAGCATTTGGTTAATTATTTTCACATGTAAAGAACAGAATGTTTACTATTTGTGGTCCTGTTATACAAGATGATAAAATCAACTGAAGATTAGAGGAGTTTGGGTTTTTATGCAGTATCTACTGTACTCAGTGAACAATGTACTTTCTGAAAGTTCAAGAGGATGGCATCAAATATGTAAATGTAACAGAAGAGTTCCTTTTTTAGTCCAGATGTTATTTAAAACTGCTAAAGAATACCTTTCTGAATTAGAAGACTGAGAACGATAAGAGCACCGGAATTAGAGAATTAGAAAAATGAGCAAGATAACTCCTAAAATTAAAAGTAAAGCCTGCAGTATATGCAGGTCTCAGTGAAGAGGTACCTGAATGGAACATGGTGGACTGACCGGATACTCTACTTTCATTGTACTTGTCTTTCATCCTTGGTTGCCTTATTGACTTCATATCAGACTTTACAGTGCAGGAACAACAACGAGATGTGAAACTGGGCTACTCTTACTTATTTATGCATCTATTTTTGCATTTATTCATTACCTCATATGCTTACAGGATTCCCAGTTACACGTTACCTTTCAACCCAAATGTGCATGGCATGACAATTGTTACCGTTGGTCACAGAAATCAGAAAAAACATAAAATATACATGGAACAGATCAATAGTCCTGCGTCAAATTCTATGTTGTAAAGTATAGGTATTTACTAAATAAAAGACTGGCATTATATTTTTTCCCTTTGCTTTACTCATTCCCTTTTGTTGTCAAGATTTTGCCCACGTCCATACCTTACTGTGCTGTGATTGCTGTGTATTACGTACTGCCTGGTAGTGGGTCACCTCTGCAGGTTCCAGTGGCCTGTGTGTTCAGGCTGTTGTCTTGAGAGGAGAAGGGAGGTACACAGTAAATCTGCTAGCACCAGATGTTACACTGCGACCATGCTCTTTCTCTTTTCTGTCTTTCTTGCCCTCCCTTTCTTCCTCCACCTTCAAATCCCTGCTGTCTGTCTGCCAGCACTCTCCCAGCGGTGGTGTGAGACATGGCGTCAGGGTGCCTGGGCTGCCAGCTTCTGCCAGCTCACACTGTGACCTCCAGCCCTGCCACCTCAGCTCCACGTGCCAATGCCACAGCAGGCCTCTACTGGGCTTTTAAAAAGATTTGACTCCCTGTGCCGGGAAAAGAGTCTTTTCATGTTCTTTGGACCATTTTGAATAGTAACACCTACTATAATGTTTGAAGGGGGCACAACTTGTTTTTAATAAAAGAAGAGTTCATAGCACATCTGAGCTGGTAGATTAAATTAAGAATTAAATTAGATTCTTTGGCTTGTTTTCTTATTTTTTGATAAGACATTTTGTAAAAATCTTTAAACTCAGGTCATGAACATAGCATTGTTTTGGCACCAATTTAAAACATTTCAGTTGATAGCCAGCCCTAGTAAAAATTCAATTACTTATACACAGGTTGTGATATCATTTCATAATGCTAATGCCAGTATTATCCATGACGGGCTTTGAGTACTAATACGTATTAGTCATCCCCTTGTCTGGGTCAGTGTGCCTGCCCTGTGGCTGGGGATGAAGGAGTGGTATTGACCAGTTTAGAGATGAGCTGTGGATGCGATGATTGTCTCCGGCATGCACCTGGGTGATAAGAAGGTAGCTCATGTCCTTCTTAGCTATCAGGCCCAACAGCCACAAAATAACCCCCCCTTCATCCTCTGTGAAGCTCCCGTCCTTCCCAGCTATCCCTTTGGAGCTCCTTAGGGAGTGCTGACTCAGGTGATAGTTTTAAATGCCATCCCCACCCCTCTCCATCTTCCAGGGCTTGAGTATGACCTTGCATCCACCCACAGAAAGAGAGGAGGAGAGTGTTGAGGTGGGCCGAAGGGGTGGGGATGAAGCTAGGCCCTCATTAGCCCAAGCCAAGGCGGGACAGCTCAGGAGAAGTGCACTAACAATGTCCTTGCCTTTCATGGCTTAGATCGGCTTCTTTGCCATGGGATAATAACCCCATCGCCTCTTTGAGAAGTTCAGGATGGCACTATCATGATCACTGAAAAAGATGGACAGAGTGGGGTTTTATAATGTAGCTAGATTTTGGCTGCAGTTTCTCACAGTGGAGCGTGTAACTGCAGGGTGTGTAATGTGTGTTTTGTTGGAGTCACTGGGTGACGCAGATACACTATTATATGATTCAAGCACAATTAAGAAATCTTCCCTGTGCCTCATGTTCTTTTTGAAGAAAACCAATGGACTCTCAGATTCAGATAGCAAGTTAAACTCTAAAACAGGAGTCTGTCATTAGTGTAAAAGGTTTGCATGCACACTCCAATCAAGCATCCTCTTGCTTAGCAACCGGCGGTGAGTGTTTTGTCTGAGAGAGTTTTTTTGAGTCATTGGTTCTCTGTGACTGAAAGGTGACTGGTGAAGCCAGCATGGCCAGCATTAGGCCCTGTACACTCTCCTTCATCTTTTCTGTTAGCATGTGGAAAACAGCTTGGCGACTGACAGCCTGACATTACAGCAGGAGCCTGTAATCATGGGACTGTAAAAACCCAAATCCAGGAGCCGCAAACAGTGTGGCCTCGTCATAGTGGTGGCAGCTAAGAACCATTCACCGCTTCTGTGCCATAAACTGTGCTTGCCGTGTCATACCAGACCCCTTCACAGATGATTCTGCTTTCAATAAAGTTGCCACTTGAGCCAGTTGAGAACAAGATTTCTGCTTACACAAGAGAACGGTGATCCCATCAAGCTGACATATGTAACTACTCAATGTTTTTAGGCTTATTTTATGGACAAAAAGACAGTGGTTATGAACTTTCCTGTGTTTTTTGGGGCTTTGGAACACTCTTCTATGTCACAGTCATTTAACCATAAACGATATTTAGAGCAGAAGCTAAAAAAAAATTAGCCCTGTAACTCCCCTACCACACAAACATTACACTGCGTCCACACTAATGCTGCATGGCTGCTATACTCCACTCGGATGCTAAGCACCTATTTCCCTTCATTATAACATTTAATGCGATCAGGATTGTAATCAGATTGCCAGTGAAATACCTCCATGACACAGTTGTGTTGGACCACTGGTGTGGGGAGGTTAGAAGGGCAGTTGGTGGAGCATTTGGAAGGGCAGAATGACTCAAAGCAGATCTAGGCATAATCTTTAAACCCTCATCCTGCCCATCCTCTGGAGGAGAGGATGGTGTTTGAGAGACTCATGTGGGCGGTTTTGTGGTGAAGGACCTCCAGTTGAAGTTTAGGCATGACAATAGAAAAGAAAAAGAAAATTTTTATCTGGTGCAAGTGTCATATACCACAAATATATAATGTTGTCTTATCATTATTGCATTGATTGATGTGTTATTTTCTTAGATATTCATAATCTGCCTTTTTGCATTATTTAATTGGCATTAGTCTCCAAAACAGCTGTTGGCGACTGCAGGTTAAAAAGAGCTATGATCAGGTTTTAAGCTGCCAAACTACTTATGAGCTGTGAATATGATGGTTAATACATCTTAGTGTGGAAGATGAGTAGGGATGCAGTAGGCTGTCAGAGTGTATTACACACCTCAGAGCTAAAGCCAGTTGATAGGATGGCCAGTTGTAGCTGCTGAGTCTGTGTGGAGTTCTGCATTTCAGGTCTGTCTGGATGCAGGATTTCTGTGATAAGTACTGTGGGAAATAGTATGAATTTATGCATTGCAGCTTTGTCACATAGTGGTTTGGATTGTGTTATGGAGTTAAGTGTGTTTGAGGCAGCTTTTAAATGTGTTTATATCCTCTCTTTCCTCCCTCTGTGTGTGTGTGTGTGTGTGTGTGTGTGTGTGAGACAGTCGTGACAGTGACCTTTCTACAATCATCTCCAATCTGCACCACACCAGACAGCACGGCATGCCCGAGGGCCAGTCAGCCTCTGACCACAACACCAATACTGGACACACAGGTAGGACCCTCAGTGAGTGTGTGTAGAAGTGTTTGTCAGTATGGTGTGGGTGTGTGTGTGTGTGTATAATACAGATAGAGTACAAGATGTCCTCTTTCTTTTTCCTTCCTTTTTTCACACTTTTTTCTCCCTTAGTATTGAGACTGATCTGGCTTTACATCACCTGTAAAATATGTAAACGTTCCATTACCCATTTAATTTATTCTAATTTGTGTGATTGGGGGAATTTAACATAAGCTTATTACTCATTCCTGTAGGCCGATCTGAAGTTGGTTGTTTAATGTTCTTCCCACATTCTCTATCGCACTCCAGGATTTTTGTTAAACCCCCTGTTTTAAATTACCTCTGAATAAATAGTTTTGTTTGCCATTAATCCAGTTTCATGTGAGCAGAAGAACCACTGTGTGTGTGTGTGTGTGTGTGTGTGTGTGTGTATACACTAAACTAAGACCTTTTCTTGCAGCTTACAGACAAACAACAGACACCATTTAATCACAGCTATTTGTCAAGCAGCTCATACAAGGATATTGTACAGCCATCAAAGACATATGGTTTGTAAACCAGTTTCTGTGCATATCACTGTTCGGCAATCATCTGACGGTACTGGATTTATATGCCACATTGGGTTAGTTGTACATATTTTTATGAAATGTTTGTGTAGTGTACTGTGTAATTGACAGCAGCATTAATGTATTATTGCACAGTGGATTTGAAATATATTTCAGTGTCATGACAGGCTCTTAGATTTTTAGTTCTACCACAAAATGGTCGCTGGGAGGTCTTTCCTAATGTTCTCCACTATGGAAGTCAGTTTAGTATAAATTGTAGTAATTATTGTTAGTTAAGATTTTTATTTCTAATAATCTGTGTTGACTTTTGCCTACAGGAAAAATGTATATCTAAAAAGACAAATCATGAAATTGATTACATCTGTCAACCTGTTCAAGTACATTTAAACAAATACATGTTCCCCTAATTTAAGGATGAGTTGTCTTTTTATTAGGGAACCCCATACCTTGGCTCCATTGTTGCCCGGGGTTCGACCCTGTCCCTTCTTATCCCATTACCACAACAAGTGGAATAATCAGCCCTGGCCTGGCCCCGCCATACCCTCTCTCTGTGTGCTCATCTCCTCTGTCTGCCAGATTAATTGTCCATACGGTGCCTGTGATATCAGGCAGGGTGGGAGGAAGGTGAAGGGTATTACACTCCTTAGCAGCCATCCCAGCAAGTGTCTTAGATCCTGGTTTGGGACGGATTTCCACCTAAATACCGGCCTAATCAGCCACTAAACCTAATGGAGAAATCAGAGCCCTGAGTAGTTGTCTCATTGGAGGACGTGGGGGGATGGTGGGGAGGCGGGTGAACACGGTATGGCCTGCACCACAGCGGTCCAAGACCCCAGAATCTGTCCGTTTGAGCATTAAAGGGAGATTTAACAGGCCGCCTAAGCAGCTCACTCCCATGTCTGTAAACAAGTCCAATCCGATCAGCCACTGGCTTTAATTCTGTCTGCCAGTGAAATTAGACACACACACATTCACAAACACACAATTACGCACAAATAACATGTAGTTATACAGATGGGTGCCTACACAAAATTAACACAGGTTCAAATTTGTGTTCAAAGACATAGGTGGGTGTAATGTGTATGAAGTTTTCAAGCTGTGGATTATTTGACTTAGAGATGGTAAAGGCAGCTCACTACCTGTGATATTGTTTACTCTGTTCTGCCTGTCAAGTCTCCTATTTGACTTACTATCAGAAAGTATTTGTCTACAAATGAACTATGGAGAGAGAGGACCCATGAAACAGGGAGTTAGACAGGAAAGAAATTAAGAAAAAGAGAGAGGAAGAATCTACAACAGAGAATGAGAGAGATGCAGTGATGGAAGAAACATTTTGGAGAGACAGAGGAAATGAATGAGTGCAGCGGTGCTATCAGGGGAGGGCAGGCAGCAGCTATGGCGGCGGACGGTTCAGTGTGTGTGTGGGTCAGGAGGAAAGGGAAGCAGGCTTGCCGGGTCGTCTCTGCGCCGGAGTGGGCTGTTAATTAAATCTGAGGAACAGACAGGAGGGCTGCCTCCCTCCTTTTCCTCTCCATCCCTCTCTCTGTCCCTTATTCACTTTCTCTCACTCTCCTGCCATTGGCTATTCGGAGGTTCTGTGAGTGGAGAGGAAGGAGGGAGGGGGAGAGCAGGGGCGCCAACGCTGAGAGTCTGGCTGCCTGTGGAGACAGTAAACCGTAGCTCTGCGGTCAGACTGGAGCCTCAAACAGCCAGATAAGGTGTTTTTGGACCGCCACTCTTGCTCGCTCTCTGCTCCCTGCACTCAGACTCCCAGAGGCAGTTATAGGCTGTCAGTGTGTGTGTGTGGCTGGGGTTTGCAGCAGTGGTTGTGGGGCTTGGGCACAGTTTTGTGTGTGTTTATACATGTGTACCTTTTCATGTGTGGTTTTAAATGTCCGGTTTTAGGTGTTTGCTTGCATGTGCATCTGCAACCCGGTGTATTTTTGAAACCTTTTTTTTCCAAACTGACTGTGGGTGTGGATTGCTCTGAAAGTATTGCCAGGTTCAGTAGTTCTTACATGATTAGGACAGAAAGGCAAAACAAAAGTAAACACTCCAGGATTTCTTCTGTTAGCTCTCTCATACAGAAGCACAAAGGGAAATGTGGTTTATAAATATTTTAAAACATCCCACTACTTAACAGGGAAGTAATTGTATTGCCATAACAAAATGGCTTCTCAGGGTGATAGTGCATAAAGACAATCTAATGCTTCTGTCAGGAGATGAAATTCACAAATAAGAAAAATAAATACTTGAAGTAGGCTACATATAGTTGTGCTGCATTTCAGAGCAGTTAACACAAACGAAACAGGTGTTTCACTCCAGAAAGTTTTATTTTGTGTGTGTTTTTCTGTGACATCTTCGGTCACAGTCATTGGTGCGTTTTTTTTTTGTTTTTTTTTAAGGATTTCTTGCATTTTATTTCACAAAGGTCACTTAATAATCAAGAAGTGCCAGCTATATTTTGACTAATTTGAAAATACATTTTTTCCCATTATCCCTTGTGTTTAGAGTCGTGCATTACGAAGTTAGATGAGTAGAATCAGGGCTGCCTCTCATCAGTGCAACATAAGTACTATTGAATTTTAGGTACATCAGTTAGTGAACTAGCGAAACTGTAGTTACTAGTGTCCAGGTATACGTTGATATACTGTGTATATATATAGAATTGCAAATTTTTGATATCCTTGAATAACCTGTGACTTGAGTATTTTTTTGATAAGAATATTAATATGCATACTCTGTCATGGATGGTTGCCTAGCAACAGCTGTTGTAAGTGAAAGAAGGCAGGAAAATGCAGAGATGATATAAGGTATGACAAGAACGTATTACATTTAAGAATGACACATGGCCCCAATTGATTAAAAATGAGGGTTTACTTTGTGTAGATTTTCTTTATTGGAAAGGTTTTATTGTGTGATATAAATTATTTTCAGACCAGAAACAGATGTTTGATAATCCTCTTAGAGGTTTATGTTGTGTCCATGAATATTCGTTCTATTGTGATTGACTTATAAAAGTTTTTATAAATGAAACCGTTGTGTTATTTTTATCAGAAAATTCTTTATTCCATTACAATTAAGACTAAGTAGTTAGTTTTCTTTTCGATAACAGTGGCTGTCACAGCCCAGGGCTTATTTCAACTGTTAGTGTCAATGGAAACTTCACTTCTTGTGCATAACCACCTGACAGCCTGTAGGTTTAGTTTTTATTGTGTTTCATAATTATACTGCATTGCAAATGGGACATTTATTTATATGGAGGTGTCACTGATGTTCACTTTTAAATCAGACGTACTGTATTTTAGTCCGTTACAAATTCCAGTCTTCTGTTCCCACTTTTCTTCTTTAGCTGTGTTCTTTATTCTTCACCGAGGAGCCATGTTACTATGTGTGTACATTTGCATGTGTTGGCGTGACACATCCTTCTCTCAGCATGAGCAGAAGCGCCTCTCTCCCCATCTCCGTCCCCCGCCCCTATCGCTTCCTCAATCTCCCCTCCCTCTTCCAGCTGCATCGGCCCGTAAGCCAATCAATGGCAGGGCTTTCAGGGCCGGCGGAGGCCCTGGTGCACGGAGGGGGAATCAATAAGTTATTAGCACCATTCTGTCAGCTGTAATGTGGAGATTGATCGGGGGGCTGCGGCTGGCGGGCCACCCCCCCTCCCGCCCGTCCACTCCCCCCCCGCTCCCCACCCGCACACTCCCCCCCAGTCTGATAAAGATGACAGATTAACGGAGTAAGAGAGGAATTAAGGAGTCTGGCTGTCTGAGCTGTCACCACGCTCCATGGGATGGAGTGAGGAGAGGAGGAGGACTAAAGTTTGAGGGAGGAGAGGAAATCACAGACTAAGGGAAACAGAGCAATGGTCCCCTGCCTGGTGGTTTGCCCTGGTGGCATCACTTAAATGAGAAATGGTTTAGGTCCTGCTGTTTTCTTTTTCTCTTTGTCCCTCTTTTCTATCAGTAGGATGAACGGCAGATAGGGAGGAGGTTAATTAGCAAGCTGGAACTGAGGCAGAAGCTACAGGATGGAGGGTTTAGGTTGATTTGTTTAAAGTTAGCACTCTTAAAATCAGTCTTGAAGCTAAAATATAAGTCCTGATTCCATAACCGCCGATTCCTCAACAATATTAAAAGTAGGTGATAGAGCATAGCAAACTTTGACTATAAGCAATGTTAGAGGCAGTAAAAGGGTTAGCATAGATGCTAGCAGAGCTCAGGATTTGGTATTAAAAGGGAGCACCGGTGCTCTAAGAAGCCCCATTTAATTGGCTTTAAAAGCTTTCCGCCCTCGGGCGCTCGCTCTGGAGACGCACTGTCTTGAGTGAGGTCTGCTCAAGAGACAACTCAAGTGTGTGTGTATTTGATCATGAGTGTCTCTGGGTGTGTGTGTGTGGGTTTAAGCATGTGCATATGTGTGTGTTTGGTTGAAGAGGGACTTTACTAATGGGGGTCCTTTCTCTCTTTGTTAATATTCCACTAATAGATAGATGGAGACCTTCAGTTTTTCTCTTTGAAAGGACCACTGAACTGAAATGTACCGAACATGATTCAAAAACGAGAAGAAAAACAGGATGAAGGATCATAAAAGAGATGACAGAAAAAGTAGATATTGCGAAGGACATTCAGCATGTGTACGTGTGTGCGTGCACTTGTCCATTAGCGCTCCCCCCTCCCCCCACCATCTCCTTGGGGTGGTATAGGGAGCGGATCTCCTCAGGACCTGAGCGGCAGCATCAAACACTGGATCATTAGTGAACCTCCTCCCTCTCCCTCTTTCTTCTTTTCTTGTTTGCTGACTCGCCCTCTCATCAACACCAGGGCTTCCTTCAGCAGCGTAACAGAATCCTCCGAGTCCAGTCTAAATCCCTTTCTGTCTTTTTCCCCTCCTTGTCTGTCTGTGTCTTGTTATAGAGAAGAAAGAACATAAGTTTGGGTGAGAGGTTATAAGTTAAAGGTCAGACTCCAGTCCAGCTCCACTCCTCTGTTGATCACTGTCCGCCTGTTGCTATGGTAACAACAATATCATGAGTGTACACATGACAGACATCACCAAATGTTGTCTGGCTACAACATTACATTTTTTTAAAACCCCCTGTTTCTCCATGCTGTTTACACATGCTGTGCAAATGATGAGAAAATTCTTTGTTGAAGAAGTGAGAAAGAGGGAGTGATACCCCCCTTCACACACACACACACACACACACACACACACACACACACACACACACGCACACCCATCCCTAAAAATACGCACGGAGAAGTGTGAGAGAGAAAGTGATAAGAAAAAAAGAAACAAGGGATGCAGTTGCTGCTGTGGCCTGGCTGTCTGTGTGGAGGAAGAAACTGAGTTAGAGAAAGTACATGGGAGGTGCAGGAGATAGAGAGAGAAAGAAAGGGAGCAATGACAAACGGCTTTTTTCTTCTTGCAGGCGCTGTGTGTCTTCTGCATCCTCTCCCTCTGATTAGTCTTATATTGATTTGAGGTGTGTTTGAGAGGGGGTGGAGGTGAGGCAATAGGGCGGGAAGGAAGAGCAAGATGAGAGAGGAGGAGGAAGAGGAGGAGGCAACAGTAGGGGGTGCTGTAATTGTACACTAGATGCTCCTCTTGGAGGTAGGGGAGAAAAGGGAGGAGGAGGAGGAAGCAGGAAAGGTGTTAATAGGAGGAGACTTCCAACACACCTAGGGGGAAAGGAGAGAGGGAAAGAAGCAGATGGAGAAAGGAGACAAGATTTAGAAGTGTGTTTTGAGGGGAGAAGAGCAACAAGAGAGAAGTAGCTGTTGCGGAGGTACAAAAGCCAAAGCACATGTTATAGACATACTGTAGGCTGCGAGGATTTTCTCAAGCAGCTGAGAGGCTCTTGTGCACTTAAGTTCAGTCAGAGGCTTTTGTGCCAACATCTGGAAAAGAGAAGAGAGAGAGAGGAAGAACAGTGATAACACTTGAGGACAGACTGTTGGAAAGAGACATTGGAGGAGATACAGAGAGACAGAGTCCTCCTCCTTTGCTCAAATAGACTAAGACGCACACACATGAATGAACCAGGCTGATCTGTCATCCATGGCGGTGCGGGCTCCCTCTCATCTCTGACAGAACAGGCACATCTCCAGACGCCCTTGGCTTGATTCACTCGCTCCGTTTCTCTTTCTCTCCACCTCTCACTTTTTGGCCCCCTTTTCACTTACTCTTTTCCAGCTCCATTTCCAAAGCAGCCGGCATGTACGCAGGTAGACTCAGAGCAGCAATATCAAGCCTTTACTTGTTAATACTGCTTATTTTGTTATAGTACACAGCCTTATGCTGGTTTACTGTTTACCTGCCCCTTGCATGGGGATATGTACATACACATTGAGAGCCGATGTATCAGAGTCCTCGTGTGTCCGACACACCTGGCAAATAAAGCAGATTCTGATTCTGATTCCTTACTTTGGTCTCAATACTGACTGCTCTTTCTCTCTTTGTGTGTTTACAGATGACCTTCTAGGCAAGAGAAGAAGCTTCTCACCCAACAGCATCAGCGAGTGTCCGTCTGACAGCAAGAAGTCACGCAGCGTATCCCCCAAAGGTAAGACCATGCAGTGTTACATTATACATGTCTAAGCACATTACAGATGTGCGTGGCCATGCGTTTTCTGAGAGGAAACGGGTGAAGATTGAAGGAAAGTAGAGAGGATGACTCAGTGTTAGAGAGAGAGAGGAAGGAGAAGTGAGGCAGCATTGATTTAGTTGCTGGTGGTCAGTGTTAGGGTTAGTGATGGGAATACACACACACACAGAGAGACGCGTGCCTCACTTTCTCATTTAATTGATGGCATGATTGAACTGACCCTTTAACTTCCAAACACAACATATACAGTAATATAATAACTAATAATATTACATTCTGTATTATTGTATAATGCTAGATGGAATATTTGCTCTCTATATGATTTGACTGACCTTAACAAGGCACGAGACATATTGGCAAGATGATGCCCCTCTGTAACACTGCAGCTTGGACACTATCCTCTATTATTCATAACTCCCTCATTTGGTGTGTAATCGGGTCCCCGGCGTGCAGCCGGCACAGTCACCAGGCCTGTCCCTATGGGCTCCTGAGGAAGACTTCCTGCCTGATGCATTATACAGCAGGCAAAACCATGTGCAGCTCACCACACATCCAGTCTCATATCTACAGAGAACAACATGGAAGTCAATATCAGCAGCTCGCACAAACATGACATACAGTAAATAGCTCTGATTGTTTGACAGGTTCTACAATAAAATGTTTTTTTATGGTGATTTCTGTAAAAAAACAACAAAAAAAAAACAACAGATGGGTGTGTTTGTATGAGCATATTTGCTGTGTCAGACTGAGCTGTGTAGAGGTCACCATGAGCCTTGTGTTGACTTTTACCCTCTGGGTGACCTTTGACTGACAGACTAGGCGCAGACCTGCCTGGAGCCGTTTCCTCCCCCTCTTTGTAGAGAAGCACTCATTCCTGGTCATTGTAGTCTTACTTAGACAAACCTCAGCTTCTGAAAGATGTGTTTTTGTGGATGTTTTTATGTGTGCACATCCATTTGTGTACTCGGGTTTGACTTGCTTTTAAGGCCAATAAGACTTGTGTGTTTTTATTTTGACTTTGTGTTCTTGTGCCTCTTAGTGTGTGTGTGTGTGTGTGTGTGTGGTTAGGCTTGACGTTTAAAGCAAACAGCCCCGCTATACGCCTTTATTTATATTCTTCCCTTGATGTATATTGGCGTAATGGAAACAAAGGAAAAATCTGTGTGCACGCCTGGTATTTCTCACATTGTGGGGACTCGGCCTTCTTCATGGGGATAAAATGTAACAGAATTTTAAGGTGACATCTTGGTTTAGGATTAGGGCAAGGCTAGGGTTAAGTTTATGTTAAGGTCAGACAAAGAGTCGTAATGTTAAGGTTAGGGTAAGTCTTTAGAGAATTAATGTAAGTCAATGTAAAGTCTCTACAAGGAAAAACAAGTGTGTGTGTGTGTGTGTGTGTGTGTGTGTGCAGCCTGCTGTCCAGAGAAAAGCACTGAAGCCATTTCAAAATGGTGCTGATCCCGTGTCTTAACTTTGAACTCTGTCCACACCCAACCCCAGACTCTGCACCTGCATGTGTGTTTTTATATGTATATCTGTGCTTATTACATCTTCTTGCCTCAATTAATGAGTAATGCAGGTGGAGAAATAGATGAAGGGTGAGACTCGGAGGGTAGTTTATGGTGCTGTGTAAATTACATCTGTTCTTCTCCCAGTGCAAATCCGGCACCCCCCTGTCATGTTTAGGGAGCAACAGGCACAGACTAGTTGCGTGTGCAATCATACACATATACACTTGAGGACCATGGGTGGATTAACTGAAGCTTGGTGGTAGAGACAGAGATGCTTGCGTACTTGCTTCCTCCCCCACCGCCATCTCTACTACACCTCCACTCCTCAGCGCCACTCCTGCTCGCCTGCCCGGGGCCAGACTCAGGTTTCAATAAGAAGGAGGGTGGTAAAAATAACCCCATGCTTTCCTCTGCTGCTTCCTCCTCCTCCTCTTCTTTCTCCCTCCTGTAACTCCCTAACCACCTCCCAATATCCCCCACCACCCTTACCTTAGATCATGTTACCTCTGACAGAGAGAGGGAGGAGGGAGGTCAGAGAGAGAGATTAAGTGTAGGGTCTGACAGCTAGATAGATATCATACACCACAACTTCTTCACACCTTAAACACAGCACAGCGTACTACACACACATATACACACACTCAGTGGTAAAAGCAGTGGGGTTTTTTGTTCTTTTGTATATTTATTTTTGTAGTCGGCATTAGTTAAAATCATAATTTATATATAAATGGGTGACACATCACCACTTCTCTCCGCTATGCAAAAGTAAAGCCAAAACATCGTTAATACAGTGGTTGCCATCTCTGCATTTTGCAACTAGATTCTGTGCACTAGTGCCTGGTGGGTACTTGAGTAACCTATCAGACAGGCAATCAATGATGTCAAATAATTTAAAATACAGCCCGTTTTATATAATCACTTATTAAAAACAAACGTGCAATAAAAATGACCACATATACACAAATCAGCATAATATCTACCAAAAATGACAGAAATCACTTCTGAGAAAAATTTGATTTGAATTTTTACTCTTATGTCTCATCCTCTAACATTTGCCCTATTCCAATATCCCATAATACCTTGTGTCCAGACAGGTTCCGTTGTAGAGAGTATAGCGGACATCTACGAGAAAATAGCAACACCACATCTTCTTGGATGTAAAATTAAATGCAGGGGGAAATTTCTGTTCTGCTCCAGGCTGTACAAATGAATCTGGGAAAGATAAGGCTCGGAATATTTAAAGCTTGTATTACACATTCTTATTAAATGACCCAAAATGCCTCAAACTTTGGATGAAGGCAATCCCCCGAGCAGCCTGGCCATCTCCCAGACAATCTAGCAGAATTTGTTCTAACCATTTTAAAGGAAATAAAGTATTTTTCTGATAATAATGCATATGTAGAGAAATAATGCTACGTTTTAAATGTTGATATGACTTGTGATCTGTGAAATATATACAAATAATAGTTCAGAGTTTGTTGCAGTGTCAAGTTAGTATTTATCTTCTGATGAATTGGATATTGAGAGTTGTTGTGATTGGTCATATTATAAGTGCATCCCTCCTCTCTTCAGAAAGCTCTCAGAGCCCTGTGGTGGAGGCAGGCTGCCACGGCCACATGAGCCCCGAGGAGCACTACAGGCGCATGATGTCAGCACTCAGCGAGCAAGGGTCCTATGAGGAGCAGCAGCAACGTCTCTACCAGCTGGCGAGCAGCATGGGTCTGCCTGGCCACGGTCAGTCCACAAGCTCTGTCTTTCTGTATGTGTGTGTGTGTGTGTGTGTGTGTGTGTGAGATCATCATCATCATCCTCACTGTCATCACAGTCTGTAGTTCATGTATCTCATTGCACGGTTGATTTTTAAAGTCTTTATCAGTACGATCTGACTCATGAAAGATCTAGAGGTACATTTTTAGTTTTGAAGTAAAGAGTAACATGAAAGTTAGTTTGAAGTATCCTGGGATTTACTTCAAACTAAAAGAGTTTTCTTCGGAAGAACTTCACCAGCTTCTATTAAAAAAAACACTTCTTCCATCACCTGTCACCAAGTCACTGAGATGCAGTGCTGCTTTGTAACCCCAGAGTGTAGCTCTGTGTTCAGGGTACCATGGTAAGGTGCGCCTCACTGCTGCCATTGTAAAACCCCAGCATGAAGCCGGCTGACATTTCTATTTGCAGTGCTAGCCCACCCAGTCTCAAAGTGTCACTCAGGGTGATTTCTGATCACCACGGCTCTCTGTTGTTAACAACACCCAGAAGTCTTCGCATGCATCAATGCCACAATTGATCAGGCGCTCTCATTGGCTACCTGCCAGCCCTCTAAATCTCCCTGCACCCTGGAAACCACCAGTGTGTCCCAGTTTTTCTCAATTTACTGGCTTTAGCTTTGGAGAATTGTAGCTTGATATGGAAAAAAGAAAATGAGAAAAGTCACCTTGTTTTAATTTTATAAGTTGGCTTTACTTTAATTTCACTGTGCTTGCTATTTAATGTTAACTGTTTTCTCAAAATTTTTGTAAATAATGTAGCATTAATTCCTACCAAACTTTATGAGCTCTTTCACAGCAGCATAAATCCAATCGATGTCCTGGCCGAATTGTAGTTTGAGCTACTTTTGTTTTTATTTGATTAGTAATGATTTTTAATTGCTGGCTGTAAATCTAGGGGGCAAAGCCTATAGATGCATTAATTGCCTTTTCCCTATCTCTTGGAGGAGCTAGAGGCAAGATGCATTGCATTGTGGGGGTTTTATGACTCAGGGCGCAGTCTGATTTCTGGCTTCCTTTCCCAGAAGCCTTGCTGGTATGAGGCAGACACTCTGGCACAATAGAGACACTCTCTCTCTCTCTTAATTTCCTCATTCAAAATAATTCGATAGTTTCCACATTACCCTTTATTCTGAACATGTGCATTCGTCTTCCAAGCTGCACTTCAAAGCTTTCTATGTACAAAAGAAGAAGAGACGGAGGTAAAGAGAAACCAGGAACAGGAATAAAAAATTTTGAAGTGAGAAATTGTCAAACAAAATGAGGCAGGAGCAGAGATGAGAGAAAATGCACACAAGTTTAGGGTTTATTAATGATGCTCTTGTCACACACTTAAATACAACAACCGTTTTAAGACAATGGTATGATTTTCTTAAAGCAACGCGTTTACATCCACTCCCAGCCATGAGCATCACAAGCTTTGGCACTCCCTGACAGCCAAACTGCTAATACTTCTTTTCTTCCACACCTGGCAACTTTCTCCATCTATTAACTAACTGTTTTTAAAAGTTTATGTAGAAAATTATTGTAACGCTACCTCCACATCCTTCATTTCAACTAAGAATTGGAGCTTGTTAAGTAGCCGGCGCTCTCTGAGACCATCAGTCCAGGAGGTGGGACAGAGGAATGGCTGTTTTGTCTCCTGAGAGGCTGACACAGTTCGCTTCAGCAAGACCCCCTTGACATTGACCTGGTCTAAGATGGGACCCTCAACTACCATCTCCCCACTTTGGTCACCACCACCACCTCTCCCATCCCTCTGAAGCACTGCTTTTATACCCCCTCCCCTCCTCCTTTTTCCTTACCCTCTCCTCCAACTCTCCCTTTAGCCTTGGTCCCCGCAGAGCATCCTTTCATGTGTTTGAAGTGTAGGGCACAGAAAATAAAAGTGTGTGTGCGTGAAAGAGGAGGGGGTAAAGAGGAACTCTGTGCATGCATGTGTGAATGTGTAGGTGCAAGGTGCTGTTTGAGAGGCGCTCTCTCTGGACCTGATGGGCAAAAGAAGAGTTGTTGGCGGGAGGGGGTCTGAAATTGGGGGTGGAGGTGCTGAGGTAGCACTGCAGTAGAAATGGCCAGGAGGGCTTTCCCTCCCTCTTCATATGATGAAAGGCAAGCGCGCAGGAGAGAAAACAAAAAGAGGGGTGGGGGTAGAGATCTAGATGAAAGTAAAGGGAGGGGTAGGATGGGAGAAGCATTCTTCTGTTTTGTTTCCCGCAGTTTAGTCTGATTTGAAACACGGAGCTGTACACAACTTCTCTTCCTCATCATCCCAAACAGCTAGAAAATCCCAGCACATGACTCTTAAGTATAGACTGTCAAACACATTCAGTCCAACAAACATGCTGCACATTTACTGCTGCCTAAGCCTGATACTGGTTGAATACCTCTTCTTGAAAAGATACTTAATTTTCTGGTGCGCTTTAGCAGATGGATGTTGGCTTTTGTGCACCTGCCAGTCCACCAAATCCATCACGAGGCCGGCCAAGCTGTATCAGTGCAGCGCTCCTCTGCATTCTCACACTGAGAAAAACCCAGCTTAACAGAGAGGATTTAGGCCCAACTCCACGAATGATGGCAGGGAGAAAAATGGGATGGCACAAAAGAGGGATAAGCAGAATGGGTCCAAGTGGTAAACTGGGACCTCCCAAAATAACTCGCGCAAAGGAAAGCAGTGTGTCACTGTGTGTGTGTTTGTGCGTCCTCAATTAGAAGTCTAATTTGCAGTCAGAGGGACTCTCCTGTTGTGTTCCAGCAGCTGCAGCGTGAAGAATTTTAGAGGGTGAAATTCTGAATCTGAGTACCTACCTATACACACACACACACACACACACACACACACACACACACGGGTGGTGCCCCAGGTGACCTTGCTCCTCTCAGTTCACATGAAAGAGAATCAGAGAGAGAAGCAGAGAGTGTATGAACTGAGTGAAACTTTACTAACATGAAATGAATAAAACAAATGGAATAAGAAGTGAAAAATAGAGAAATCATCACCAAACTTAGAATCTTTACAGTATTATACAGCTTGTATTGTCTACATTTAAAGGAGTATTCCACCTATTTAATAGGTCACATGGGTTTTAATGAAATATCGTAGACAAAGATCTAATAAAAACCATCATACTTGCATTTTGAGATTACAGATAATATAGTTGATCAGTAAAATAAGTTTATAAATAGCGCAATGTTATTTTTTTTTTTTTATGTAGTTCTTGATTTAATCTGGATGGGGTCCTGTTGGTGGACTTGGTTGAGACCTCACTAACTTTAAAATCTGGCTCCAGCCCAAGTCAGTCAATTTACTAATCACAGTATTACTGAACCTGTGGAAACAGATCGTATGAAGTATTCCTTGGCTCTGGAAAAATCCAGAAACATAGATCTCAGAGGAACTATGTCTTAGAAATTGCTCAAGTGACACTGAGTAATCGCAGCATGGAGACTACAAATTTTTAACACAAAGTAACTGTGTTGCAAACTTGGTGTGGAAGTGTAGGATCTGGTGTTTTTGGAGCTTGACTCTGTCTAATTAAGGTCTGAAGCCAAAAGTTAAGGTCTTTTCATTCATCATATTTTGGATCAGTACAGTCAGGATGTCTCAGGCTCTGCTGCATTGATTTTGACCATTCTTTTTAAAATCTGTGACTTGGAAGTCCCCAGACTATATGGAAGTTCAACACTAAATCGCTGAAGTGCCCCTTTAGCTGAGGCAGTCATACAAAATAATTGGTGAGGTGGGATTGTGACCACAGTAAATTCATAGAGGTCAACTCTTCCACCCTGTTACCCCTGCACCATGTACACAAGCACAACAGACTGTGTGTGTTTGTGTGTATGCTCTGGGGCTCCACTTCCCTCTGATCCCTCCCTTATCTCTCACAACTCCCCCACCCCCCACCATACCCACACAGACACACACACACATATACCCTTGTCTGCCGCCAGCCGAGTCCCCTGTGGCCTGGCGCAGCAAACAGATCGATACACCGGAGCTAGGCCGCATTAATATCTGTCGCTTCAACCCCCCACCCCGGCGCCCGCTCAACTGCTTCAGCACTCACACAACACACAGAAACACACAGCCAGGCACGCACACGCAGGCACCTAAATCACACAGGCGCACACAAACGCACATCACACCCGTACTGGCGGCGGAAATGGCCCCTAGCTCCCAAGGGATCTGTCTAATTAAAAAAGAGGGGAGGAGGCAGATAAGAGCAGAGAGAGGATAGATAGACTGAGGCAGAGAGAGAGAGAGGGAGGAGACAAAGAGGGAAGAGAGAGAGAGCAGGATGGATTTTTCTCTCATTAGAAGCCTGGTCTCCTGGTGTGGCCTGGCCTGGCTGATAATGATGAGGCCTCTTCTCCTGCGAGGGCGAGAGACAACCAGGGCTGCCTGGAGAGAAAGAGAGAGGGAGGGGGGGATGAGTGAAGAAATAGATGAAATGAGGCGAGTGGTAGAGGGCAGGAGATGGAGAGAAGAGGGCAGGCAGAGATAGAGCGAGAAGGTGTGATGGTTTGGTGGAGGTGGCGAGGCAGAATAAAATGCTCTGCACCCAATGTGTGAAGATGCTTTTCGCTTGGCCCTGCAAAAACAAATTGGCCATTGTGTTTTGAAAACATTATCACACACCATAATTTTTCATGGGATCTTTAACCTTTTCATTTTTATGCTCCCGCCCTTTTATTTCCTCACATTTATTTGAAACTTGTCAGCATCTCTTCCAAACGTGACAGATTCGAACACTATTTGCTAATTTCATACACCTCTGTTAAAATGTCTGTTTTGTAAATCTTTGTGCGGTGTGTCTTTATATGCTCATGTGTCTTTATATTTTTATTAGCTATCTGCATACTGGCTTAAAATGTTGTCCTGTAGTGATGGAGTAGGCTTTACTTTTATCTTTACATTGACTTT